TTTGTTCTTGCTAAAGCAAGAATAGAAGAGTTTTAAGAAAGGAATCCTGCAACATTTTAATCAAGGGAAAATATGTAGTTTATTTTGGGCTCACACTACAATAAATGAGGTGTCAGATTTTGATTAAGTGTTATTGGAGGCTTTTATAAGTTTTACAGAAATTAAAGAAACTAATTTATGTCCTTGTTTTAGTCATCTTAAAAATAATAATTAAAAAGCATATAGAAAGGAGTCTTTAATAATTGTGTTGCTATTTGCAGCATCGGTGTCTTTTTTTACACACTGTGGAGACTTACTCAGGGGATTTGGGATATAAAAGATGGTCCTTTACATCTATATAGTATGTCTTGATTCCTGTGTTTAGCTTTTGAGCTCTGGGGGAAGTAGGCAGTTGTTTATCTTAGTACTTTGCATCTCACTGTTGGCATGAGCATCTGTGACAGCATTGATGTCAGAATTTGATTTTCTTTATGACAACTGGTACACAATTTACATGCATCAAATGATAATTCAATATGTAAATAAATTCTTTTTCTCCATACTGGTGTCATTTTCCAGTCCTCATGTTTCTTCACAGCAAGTTCTTAACGCCGTCAATAAAAGGCAAACTGTTAACATACTTTGCAAGTGTTAATAACCTGCATAATAACATTGTGTCCACTGAACTGGATATTCTTAGAAATATTTTTTATCTTTCTTATGTATTTTATTACATGAAAATAATAAAATGAATGCATTTAAGTTTTCACACAACACACAGAGGGTTTCTGTTGCTGGAATTGGAGGTTTTTTACTGAAGACTGGCTGGAGGAGGGGCACAGGATCAAATACAAGCCATTTCCTTCAGGCTAGTTCAGTCAACTGTCCAAAAATATACTAGATTTGAATAAAGGTAGAGGCACTTAAAATTAAATTGTGGCTCTGATTTTACAGTTGTTTCAGTCTCTTGATACCTTCATGTACTATGTAACCCTGTGTGGCTGGTTCAGTTGTGGTTCTGTGCCTGCTCCTAGAAGAGCTTGATGGGGATTTTATTAGTGGTCTTTTTCCACTTGTAAGCATCCTAGGTTACTAACAAAGCTTCGAACATAGTAATGATATTCTGTGGTTCCTTCCCACCTTTTTGTTTTGCATTAACTGATGGCATTCCACTGCTGAAGTCTTCCTCTTTACCTTTAGAAACCTTTCCAGTAGCATTCGGAAAGTTACCTCCTCCACTTCTGTTCCCTTCCCCCATTCAGAAATCACAGGAATAATAGGATAATATTTAATTGTAGACTGCCTTCACAGACTTCTCTTATTTCACACCCTACTTACTCAGTATGATGCTGAGAGAGGTGTTCTGTTAAGAGGAAACAGCTCAGTATTGCAGCAGCTTCTTGAGGTGACAGCATGCCAAAAATATGTCACTCTCTGCCTAGACTGTTCTGAGTTAATGTTTCATTAGACTGTAAACCTTTACCCACTTTTTCCGAGTTTTTTTAGCAAAAATTTTACGAGATTGTGTCACCACAAGCTAAATGTTTTCTCTAGGTCAATTTCCCATTACAACAGTTGTTACTTGTCCTTGCCAGTTTCTACACTGACATTGTGTTCACATTTTGCAGTGTTTCAAACTGCGCTTCTCCTGTGTTTCTGTTAAATGTTTCCATTTTCATTTTGTCTATGGCAGATGATCCTTTGGTTTTATCTGACAGTGCTATGTTTGTTGTCTTGTAGCTTTTGTGATTAATTTCAATGTGCTAAAAATTTTGATAGAATCATAGCATAGTTTGGGTTGGAAGGGACCTTTGAAAGTCATCTAGTCCAACCCCCCTGCAGTGACCAGGGACGTCTTTAGCTAGATCAGGTTGCTCAGAGCCCATCCAACCTGACCTTGAATGTGTCTAGGGATGGGTCTTCTGTCACCTCTCTGGGCAACCCGTGCCAGTGTTTAACCACCCTTGTAAAAAATTTCTTCCTTAAATCTAGCCTCTTTTAGTTTAACACTGTTACCCGTTGTCCTATCCTACTTCCTGATAGGGAGTCCCTCCCCACCTTTCCTCTAGGCCCCCTTGAAGTACTGGAAGGCCGCAATAAGGTCTCCCCAGAGCCTTCTCTTCTCCAGGCTGAACAACCCCAGCTCTCTCAGCCTGTCCTCACAGGGGAGGTGCTCCAGCCCCGTGATCATCTTTGCAGCCCTCCTCTGGACCCACTCAAGCAGGTCCACGTCTTTCTTATGCTGGGGGCCCCAGAGCTTAGCGCAGCACTGCAGGTTATCAGTGAGAAATCACCAGAGCAGAGCAGAGGGGGAGACTCACCTCCCTCGACCTGCTGGCCACACTTCTTTTTGGTGCAGCCCAGGGTGTGATTTGCTTTCTGGGCTGCGAGTGCACATTGCTGGCTCAAGTCCAGCTTTTTGTCCACAAGTACCCACAAGTACTACGTATTTTTTTTCAGGCCTGTTAATCTGAAACCAAGATAATCTTCAGGTTCTATTCATGTTAAGCGGCTGGAAATTGTATCAATTGTTATTCCTGTTTTCCCTTTTGTACACCTTTAAGCTTTGGTGGAGAACTAATGTTCTCAAATAAATATTTTCTTTTTAATTTCAACTAAGGTATTATTTGATGTTTATAGACTTTATCGTCTAGTATTAGCAATGTATTTTGTTCCACACAAGAACCTGAAAAGATAAAACATATCAGGAGACCACCATTTGTGAGAAATTTTTTTAAGATTTTTTCCACCAGTGGTATCATCATGGTAAATTTTTTCTTGCTGGATATATAACAGTGTGGTAGAGAAGGCTTTTGACTGACATGGATTATTGTTGAAGGCCTCTGCTATAAAACTGCGCCTTTAAGAGTGATCTGAATCAGGAGGGGGGAAGATTTGTATATGCTAAGGATAAAGACACTTTTAGGAATAAGGAACAGCTGAAAAATGTTGGGAAGGCTGGAATAGGAAATGGAAGCATTCTTGTGTCCATTCCAGCTTCTTGAAGGGAAAAAGAACCAGGGGGAATAGTAGAGGGGCATTTGCTTTGAGGAAAGTATCTATTGGGAATTGTGCCCTTACTTACCAGAGATTGCCAGTAACAAAGGAATTATTGTGGAGCTATTGATATGGGGGTGCTTATGAGCTGGAGATGAAATTTGGAATGTTGTGTGGGGTACAGTGCTTTTTCCTTTGATTGAGCTCTAGCAAACCTGTTCTGGTAAATGTGTATGTTAACTGTAAGAGATTTTCTTACTGTAAGTGAAAAATTTATGAAAATGTTTGTCATTGTGGTCTTCTACTTGATAGATGTAAGAGCTATGAAGCCACTCCTGTTCCTAATTGCCATTACAGTAGCTGAAGTACTACTAAAGAGTCAAGAGAGGAGTTCTGGGCTCTGCATCACCTTCTGTTCTTTGGAATACAACAAGCTGGAGATAAATACAGCATTACTTAACCTGATCTTGCATCTTCAGAAGACATCATAATAAATCTGAATTAATAGAATATGATTAAAATTAGGATATTTTTGTCAGAACGTTTTTTAAAGATGGCTTGTTCTAATATCTTGACTTCAGTTGGCTAGTATGTTTCAGAAGTTGTTCTTCAGGAAAATACAAACATTACCACATTAATTTTAAAAAGTCACCCATGTTGTTCTTTAATATCAAAAATTCATCTCTAAATGCAAAAATACATAATGACCTTCTTCAGCTTGGTTGCTAATAAGGCACACTTAAGTCCTGGAGTGGAAAAGTGGCATTTGAAGAAAAAAATACAACACCCTTAGATTTGTGTAATTTGTGGATGTTTAATAGAGCTGCTGTATGTGCCTGGAAGGGTATGGCTCCTCCAAACAGGAAGGGCTTCTGTCACAGGGAGCAACTTATAGTGGAAGTTTAGGAGTGAATGTGCTTCTTCCTGCATGAGAGTAAAGCTGAAGTGGTTTATGAGTCGGCAACTTGGGCTAGGAAGAAATTCTTCCTGTGTGCTTTTCCAGTAATAAATACGTGTTAAGTTATTTATGGCAGTATCAACTTGGATTCTGCTTGTTTTAATCTGGCAAAAATAAAACCACAGGTTCATGCTACAGAGCGTAAAATTAGCTTCCTTTATTTTTGTAAGATCAGTATAATAACTAGACAGTTTACCGTATAATTAGAGCCTATCAATGGATTCAGCTATTTACTTTCATAAGCAACAAGGGAGGATGTCAGAAGTTCACGTATTGGAAGCATCTGCATGTATAGGAAATTAGTGATGACAGTAATTGAGTAGTAAAGGCTTGGTAAGTTCTATTAGTTGGGTACCATGGCTCTAGAAATTAATGGGAAAATGGTATATGTGAATTTTACCTTAAATTAAACAATAGGGTTTTATTCAAAACTTTTAATTGAAGCCATCTGTTTCTAAAAAATTAGCTTTAACACAAACAAAAGTTTTGCATTTAAGCTAGAAATTACTGGGAAAGATTCTATGGCTTGTCTCAAGCAGGAGTGAGCACTAAATGAACAATGGTCTTCTGCAATTTAAAAATAATTTCCTTTTTTAAAAAATGTAATCATATAGTGAGCAGTGTTTTGTGTTTAAGGCAGTGTTGTTTCATCTGATACGATAACATACAGGCATAAATCTCATGTGCATGTGTAAGGTACTAGCCTCTACCTGAAGTTGGTCATGCTCAATTATTTCTGTAAGGGAACTTTTAAAAGAGAATGTTTTTAAGTTAATAAAAAAATAAAGTCTTAGAGTCTCCATACACTGATAGAGTTATAGGTGGCTTTATGTGGTGAGTGTGGCAGGTCGGCCACTTCACAGAAATATATGTCTTCATTATTTGTGGTAAGTATGTTGTTTTCTGAATAAGTATAAAAAGCTTATTTGGCAAATATAGCAAATTAATTCCATAATTTTTTTTTTGTATTGATCAGCTGGAACTTAGAAACAAATATATGATTTTTTTTTTTTTTCTTTTTTCAGGTATTAAGTTTTAAAAGAGGTACTTGTTTTCAAGAAGTACTATGGACAACATGAAAAAAGTTAGTAACAGCTCTTGCAATGATGGAGTTCTACTTAGAATGGGCCTCAATGATAACAAAGCTGGAATGCAAGGTTTGGATAAAGAGAAAATTAATAAAATCATCATGGACGCTACCAAGGTTGGATTGATTACTCTTTTGCTAGTGCTTTATCTGTTTTCCAGTATCATGAGACCCTCTTCCTCCCTTCCCCAAGTTTTATCCCTTACATGTGTAAATGGAGGGCACCTTCTTTGAAGACGTGCATGTGTGGGATGGAAAGGGAGAGACTGTAATTTAGGATACCATAGGGTACTAGTAGATTAGTCACAGAGAAGTGGAGGAACACAACTAAACAGGTCCGTAGGTGCTCTCGGTTTGCCTGAAGCAATACGTAAATACCACAGCATTCTCCAGAGGTAATTGTGAAGGTTTCAGCTTACTTAGGCCTTTTGTTTCCCCCTTTTCTGTTCCTTTTGCCCACCCCATCATTAATCAGCCAAGCAGATCTACCTATATTGGTCACCTTCTGGTAACATGGATTTGATGTAATCAGTTTTTTTCTAGTACTTTCAGTAGAATTTCTTTGTGCTTACTGCCTGTCTGCTTGACTGTCTTCTCAGTATTCAAGGTGGCCAGTAGTGTGCAACTTTGTGCCAGAGATCCACCAAGGACCCCACAAATCTACAAAACATTGAAATATTAGTCCTCTTACTTGTTATTGGAGAGTCTTCGCATAAAACTATATGGCAATAATGTTTTCTTTGAGCAGTTCTGACTTTTCTTACTTTTCCTTGCACAAATGTGTATTTCATTAGGTGTCACTATGGCCCTAGGTTATGTGCTTGCTATTTTGCTTGTGAATTCTGTGTTGCCTGCTATTGCTTTGTGGCAAACTGCAGGGGCAGGGAAGGCGGGCAGGAAGCAGAAAACATACTACAAACAGCTCTGATTTGGCAAACTTTTTTTTGCTTGAATTTTCGCTTTGATGATACTTTATATGTTATCAAGCCCCTTATTGTTTAGATGTTTCTTCTACTTATTCTTTTCACTCTTTCTTGAAAACTCAGTGCTTTGTCAGACATGTTCTTAACCATGATATTTGAATAAATTACTTTGTGAGAACAGTTACTGTTTTATTTCCTGGTATGAAATAGAATGAACTATAAAATAGGCTTTCAGAACTGATATACAGGCATCTATGTATTAGAATATATTTCTGTAATATTTTTCTATAAAAAAAATAAAGATAATATAAATCCCAGATATAGCTCAAGAAATCTGAAAAGAAGCATTGATTCTTTTTCTTAATCTTTTCTTTAGTCTTCAGAAGTACACCTACAAACACCACCCACGATTGTATGACAACAAGATTTTATAGCATTTCAACTGTGAAATACTGCAAGAGATATAAAAAAACCCACTGCCTAATAACAATCTTAAGTATAGGGTTGCTTCCCACACCAACATTTTGGTATTTATTTCTTTCAGTGGGTCTCAACAAATCATGTTTGATTACAGAGGGGAGAAAAGATAAAATGCGTGTCTGATGTTGAAAGAAAACAACTCGAATTTCTTCTAACTGGAGATTTTTTATAAGCAGTGAGACGTGACACATTGCAGTCTTGCCATTCATCCTTTTTATCCTTAGTATAAAAGTGGATGGTTTTGCTTGTCATATAAATGCCTAATTCTTACTTGACTGTGGCTGAACTCTTGGCATCAGTGACAGTTTGGTAGTCAGAGGCTTTGAGCTAACAATTTGTCCACTTCTACAGATTTTATCAGGTGGTTCAATGAAAGACATTACCTCTTGTGCAAATATTGTTTCTCTTGTAAGCTAAGGAGGTGTTGCAAGAAAAATACTTTATTTCCTGGTTTTGAGTTTTCCTCGTTTCTGTTCATTGTATGCCTTCTTTTCTTTGTCATGACTCAGGAAGGGAAGTCCCATTATATGTTCTCTGCATGGTTGTTGTCTTTTTATGTTTTCATTACATCTCCATTTATTCATTCCTTTTTTTGATGGAGAAATTACATACTTGAGAGCAAGAGAGGTTTTTTATACCCTTTGCTTTTCATCATCCTCTTCCAAGTAGCTTTTAATTCTGCAGTGTCCTTCAAGATTAAATAGTCAATGAAATACTCGACATTATAAGTGGATTTGACTTTTACAATGTCATTATTTATTTCCGTGTAGATTAAACTGTATGGAAGTCTGGCCAAATGCTTAAATCAATTTTTTTTAGAGTTTTATACTCCTTATTTTGGAGGTATTGCAAAGAATAGTTTGACTTCTGTCTACTATTTTGGAATTTTTGTTGTCAAGTGTTAGCACAAGTAAACCTAGTAAGTTCTCTAAATAGTCCCTTATACTCATCTGAGTATAGACAATCTGAGAAGGAGAAATGTATTTGTGTCATTTGAGGAGAGAGATGTAAAGCACCACTGATCTCTCTTGTGTATCATTTGTATGAAAATCCAAAGTATGCATTAGAAGCTATTACCGTGTTTTACATTTTCTATATTTAAAGATAAAGTGTGATTGTTTATAGGAAAAGACAAATAAAAACCTTACTGTTTTTATGATTTTCTTCCAGGGTTCTAGATTTTATGAAAATGAGCTTAAAAAAGATAAACAAGTTAACCAACGAATTGAAAAAATGATGCAACTAAAAGAGAAAATTACAACACAACAGCTCTTGAAAGCACAGCTGCAGGTACTATTCTTGTAAAGACTTTTTGGAGTAAATGCCAAATAATAAACCTTTTGGTGTGTTCTAGTTTATTGCATTAAATTCTGGTGATAAGCACAATGTTAACTACCATTTTGATGTTAGTCATGCAAGTAAAAATGCACAATGTTTTGATGATGCAATCTTAATAAAAACTTGCGAGAAGATTGTAAAATCACTCCAAAATGATCTCTAAATGAGCAAAATAAAGCAAAGTAATTCCATTTCTTCTATGTCTGATCAGTTTAAAGGAATGTCATTATGGTTTACATAAAAGTTTTCTTAAATACCATGTTAATAATATAGTATCAGTCTTGAGTTTACTTTCTGTTTTTATTATGTGTTTGTGTTCAATGGCCTGCAATGGGATGAGGGGGCTCACAGTTGTCAGCTTTTCTGGATATAATTTATTCCTTACTTGTGCTAATTAATGAAAACATCATCACAGGAAACAGTCACAAGAAATACAAGTGTCCTGAACTAGAAGGATAAAGAGGCTATTCCTCTTCTCAAATGCTAATGGTAGATAATAGTATCCAAAGTATTACTCTGTATGAAAGGTTGTTAAAAGAAAACAACGGCACCAAGGTTGCACACTAAACATTCTTAGGCACACAGAATTCAAGTTCCTCGTTGAAGCTTAATTCCTTTTTCATTTGTACTGTGATTCAGTTTTTAATTACATGATTGCTTGCTATTTTTCCCTAACAGGATTTCTGCTTCATTCAGTGCACAGTGCGGACAGTGTTCATTGAGTGGGCAATTATTCATGTGTACTGTTGTCCACATTGTTCCAAGGGTGGCCCCAAGCTTTATTTGTTGTACACTACTCTAATCCAGCTTTGAATGCAGAATTACTGACTTCCTCATAGACTTTTCTGTTTTGTGCACCACGTAGTGTGAATTCTTTAAATTATTCTTGCAATACTCCAGCAGACTAGAGTGATATTTTTGTTTTGTAGGTGAGGAGCTGAAGCACATGAAGAGTAAACACATCCATTAATTTTGAATGCCATTGTGAGGACTGTAGGTTCTGAGCTTTGGTGTACAATCTTTTTTTGTTCATTGCAGATTTACAAATCACTTCTGTAAGTTAGACGCCAGTATCTAAAATTTGAGCCCAGAAAAGCTTGCAATTACTGAGCACGCCTGAAAAGTTTGTTATAAACCTGTATGGCTAAAGTGTTTTTTGTTAATCTTGAGCATGGATCAGTTATGTGTCTGCTTGTCCATTTTGGTTTTTTTTTTATTTATTTTTCTGGGGTAGCTTTTAAGTAATTTAACTATGAAAAAATACTTCCATTTCCGTCCTTCCTTCACCAAAGAACTTTTCATTTTACAGAGAACAGTCTTTCTTATAAAGTTAATGAAATGAATTACACAGATCCTATAAAACTAGTGTATGGTTATGTAATTAAAGAATATATAATGCCTACAGTGAAAGCAAATAAATCTGAATTGCTTTGACTACAGTCATGCTGTCTTTTTCTAAACATGATGCTTTGATCTTGCAACATGTTACTTCATTTTAATGCTTTTAATGAAAATTGCTTTCTATAGAAGAAGAATTTTCTTTCTTTAAAAAAAGAAATTCTTTCATGTGGGTCTTACTGGGACTCCATGTTTGAAATCTTTGTGCCACTTGGTCAAATAGTAGCTGTCTTTATTTCCAATGGACTAACTATTAAGTCAGCTGCCATACCGCATGAAAACTGTCATTAGAGGAGGATAATATGCACACTTTTTTGCTCGCTAATTTTAGATCTTTGCTGTTATAAAAAATCTTGAAATCTTGGATTTTGATCCATCGTGTGTATGTAGACAAGCTCTGGTTCATGATTGTTGTTGCGCTCAATTCTTTCTCACAAGTTCTGACCCTTTAGCGCTCTCCTCTCCTTGCTTTTAATTTATCCTGCACTGAACTTTCCTTTTCTTGTCCCACATCCCCAGATTAGCATCAGTCCTCTGATATCTCTTTTTTTAACTTCAAAGGAAGACTGAAAGCAGCTTTTAAAAACTTGTCAGCCTGGCTTGCCTCTAAGGAACTATTCCATAACTTTGTTTATCTTACTAAGGAGACATTCGTAGGCGCCCAGAATTCTCTCGAATACATCTGGGTGTGGTTTCTTTTGGCATATTCTAGTTGCTTTTGCTGAAGAGTTACTTTTTGGTATTTCTGATTAATTTAATGCAATTTTACTTCATTCTTTAGATGCGTATGTTAGGTGATCATTAAGTATCATCTTAGAAATACATTTAGGGAGAAAAAGCAAAAAGAAGTTTATTATACCTGTGATAAATTGAAATACAGACGTTAATGTAACTAGAGGAGCAATTGACAGTATTAAATAAATCAGCAATTTGAATGTGAGAGTAACCTGAAAATTATCTGTAAAGTACAGTTTAAAATAAGGATGCTTTTTATGATTATAGTGCTACTTGAACCCTTACTGAATTAGTAGCGGAATGAATTTAATGTAAATTCCTGACTAGTTGTTGTTGTTGTTGTAGTTGTTTGAATGGCTTTCCCCTTGTGTTTTTAATTTGTCTAAACCAGTTTTGTCTGCCTCAGGGAGCATACTGTGCTCCGCTGTATGGAATCACCCCATACAGGTTTGAGTCCCCATTCTAGCCTTTCATCCCTCAAATCAGTTTGGAACAAAACTGAGAAAAGACTTTGTAAGTCATTACTCAGCAATTTAGTGTTAGAACATTCATAGCTGCTTGCCTTGGTTGAAGTGTCTTCAGCTCCAAAAATGGGGTTTTGGATAAGGTTTTTGTTTTTTTTTTATTAAGCAGCTCTGTCAAGGGGAAAAAGAAAGAAACTGTCTTCAAGTAACCATGCAACTTGCATGTAAACATTCCTCTCCAGGGCTGTAAAGCCATTGCAATTAATCCAGAGACGTTTCTGTAATGGTACCTTGATGTCATGAATGTGTATGTCCATCCTTGTGTTTGCAAACAAAGTGAAATTTCAGTTCTGTTTCACTACTTGCATTTTGTGAGCTCTATTATGCCTATTTGTTGGGGTTTTTTCTAGCTGTGACAACCTTTTGTTCTGTAAATAGAGGTTAGCATAGTCATTAGTGTGGTTAGATAATCATAGTTTGATAGCACTTCTTTTGTTTTGGTTTGTTTTTTTTAATATTTTCTTTCGCTTCTGGAATGATGTGTGGAACTGCCAACACAGTCATCTTAAATCAGTAGACCTTAAAAATCAGCTGTTAATGCACTCATTCTTTCTCATGACACTCACAGTTCATAATTTGTTCATAGTTGGAAGATATTTCAGAAACAAGCACATGATCTGCAAGTCTTTTGGTGAAAGAATGCAAGCAAATTAAGCACAATTAAAGAGTTTCACGTAAAGGTCTGTGTGCTTGGCCTCTGCTTCACCACACCATGGAGCTGATGAAGCAGGAGTACTGCTCACAGTCTACTAATAGGTGATACACCTTTAAATCTTGGAGTGAAACGTGCTTTCTGTGTATGGGCTTTTCTTTAAAAGTCACCTTGCAGTTTTGCTAGCAATCCAGCCGTATCATATAAATGTAGATTCCTGTAACAAATGTTGAGGAACTTTATGAAGGGATTGACAGTAGCTTACTTAGCAGTAGATGAACCTGTTTGCTTGAGACCTTATTTCTGGCAAGACAAGATCAATGGATCAGCCCTGTGTGCTCTTGGTGTTCTCTTCACCTGTCTAGGCCAATTTTCTGAAGTGTGATAGTTTAATTTAGGAGTGTTGGAAATTCTCTAATAGCATGTTTCCATTTTTTTTTAAATAACCTGTATCGCAGTAGCTAAAACTGCGTATTCAATGGTCTTACAAAGTTTGTCTGAATCAGATGATGTATCTTCTTTTTTTCCAACATAGTTGGATTTTTGTTGTTTGAGTTGGGTTTTTTTTTCATTTCGTTTCAGGATGAGGTTTTTTTGTACCTTTTGCTGCGGCAGTGGTCTCTGTGAGAGCAAGGTTCATCAGAAACTTGGTTGGGTTTTTTTTGTTGGTGCTGGTTTGGTGGAGTTTGGGAACTATATTCCAGATGCATTTGAGTTTTTAGGTTAATCTGTTCTGTTGCCCTTCTGGCAGGTTAATAGTTTTTCAATTATTGGTTTATTCTGTTCAGGTGGACAAACTTGTGATAGAACTGGAACAGAACCGTAACCTTAGCAGTACAATTGTACACATTGACATGGATGCCTTCTATGCAGCTGTGGAAATGAGAGACAATCCAGAGCTGAAAGAAAAGCCTATAGCAGTGGGATCAATGAGTATGTTGGTAAGGCTGAATGCCAAGCTAATACAGAAATCAATTACATGAATCTAAAGCCTAATAAACTATACAATAATAAGCTAATATAATGACAATGTTATAGAGAGAATTTTTATAAGCGTGGGAAAAAAAATAACAAAAATAATAGAGGAAACGTCTGTTCTTAGACTAGACCATGTAAGCTGATTTTATTTTTTAGTAAAAAGTGTACTGATGGAAGTTTAAAGGATGTAAATGGGTTGAAAGGCAGTGGGGGGAAATGAATGTAAACTCTCAGCCTTGTTAGTCTTTTCTGTGTGGAGATACATGATTAGAACTTGATTATTTAACACTAAACGTCAAGAAAAACTTGATTACTGAAACCTGAATTTATTTAATCTCTCCTAAGTCCACCTCAAATTACCATGCTAGGAGATTTGGTGTACGTGCAGCCATGCCTGGATTTATTGCAAAAAAGCTATGTCCACATCTAACTATAGTACCATTAAACTTTGAAAAATACGGCAAAGTGAGTAAAGAGGTAAGTCTGAAAGTGCTTTCTAACCGCAAGTCAGTGTACTTGGTTTTAGACTCTATCAATAGATCAGTTCTAGATAATATGAGAAGTAGTAGTTTAAATATTAAACTCTTCAGTGATGTGGCTTTGAACATAGGTGAAATAAAACATGGGTGCTTTTGGGCAAGGAGATGAAAAAGCCTGCATTCATCCATCTTACCATTTTAATAAAGTCAGTAGTGATGCTGGTCGAGATTTTCAAAACTGTGTAGTGAGCTAGGGATACCACCTGAGCGTTATTATTCTTAAAACTAAAAAAACATGGAGCATAATCTAATTACTAGGAAGCTGCAAGAACATAGGAAACATGGAGGTAATGATTTCCCACAATGCATAATCATAATTTTGAATGCTAATTACTGGAGAGAGAAGTAAAGATCGTTAGTGAGCTCTAAATGCAGATTAATTTGTTTTAGAAGAAGGGACTTGAAATAAAGAGTAAAAAATTAGAGAGAAATAACATTTTGCTTTAACAGAAGTAATTTTATTTAGTGCCAGGAGAAATATTTAGGATACTCAATATCCTGTTCTTAAAAAAAAAAGAAAAAAGGAAGAAAACAAAAAGACCTTTTGTAGGTCTTAAATCAAACTAGTGCATGGCACAAGTCTCCTGACTTCAATAAAATTATGCCAAGATCTATTTATGTATTTTTATGAAGCCTCAATCTCTTCACATAAATAAAGTAAGCTAATTACTAATTTTGATCTTATTTGATTTGTCTTACTTCTGTTATATAAATGTGAGTATTTCAGAATGAGTTTGAACTTGTTAAGGATCTTGGATTTCATTGTATGTATTTTATTTGTTGTTTTATGGGGTAAAGTTTTAAGGTTGATTTTGTTTTTTAGTTATATTTTTCTCTTGGGATTTGTATTGAAAATACTTAAATTTGTTTATTTTTGTCCTTAAAAGTTGAGCAGTGAATCCTATCTTTAATCAGTTTCAGAAAGATGAAGTGCATGTGAACAAGTGTTGTGATATCTAAGAATTTGACCAAAACTGGTAGAGAAAACATGACACAGTCAAATTTTCCTCATTCAAAAGAATAAAAAAAAAAAAAGAGGGGGAAAAAACAGAGGAGAAGAGGTAGAGATTTTCTTTTGACCTTATGTTGCCTTTTGAGAAGATGCATTTCTCACTAAAGGTTTTTTTTAACAAGTTTAGCCTGTGTCATTAACCAGTGCTCTAAAACACTGCCTATAACTTTAGTTTGAATGTAATTTAAAACTTAGGTGGTTTTGTTTTTTTAACCTTTGCATATGTGATGTCTGACACACAGTGCACAGAAAGGTGCATCAGCTCATGTGCTTTGCTGAGTTCCCAGGTCCTCAGAGTTATTCAGGTGGTTACTGCAGTGTCTGTGTACTTAATTATGTGGAGTGCTTATACACTGATCTTAATGACATCTGCAGTAAAATACAGTGCTTAAAATCTGTTTAGTTCTCACTTATTATTGATGTCCTGCTGCTTGTTAGAAGCAGTACTATAATTTTCCAATATCAATAAATAATTTTTCTATGCATATCTTTAATATTGATTGGTCATCTTGAGGTTGTGTGTCAAGATCTGCTCTTACAGCAATGAGGCTTTAAACTTTCACTATGTGTTTATCAAGGTTCGAGAAATACTGATCGAATATGATCCCAATTTTATGCCTATGGGCCTAGATGAAGCCTACCTGAACATAACAGAGCACTTGGAGGAAAGACTGAACTGGCCTGAGGATAAGAGAAGATTCTTTTTTAACACACAAAGTGCTACAGAAAAAGGTAAACAAATTACTCTGTTTTCATGTGGTCTGCTGACACTGAGGGGGCAGACAGTTTCTTTTGGGGACCCTTGGAAGAATGATGGTGGCACTACATCATAGTCACAATTTAAGCTTTATTTTCTTAACAGGAAATTATGATAAGCATAGCACTGCATTTATGATTAGAATAGCACAGGATTTCTACAAGCAGAATCAATGTAGTACAATCTTATAAGTAGCGTAATACAGGTTTTATAACACAACATATGGTTTCTAATCACCTAAGTAATACAGGGTATCTAATACAGCTTAACTTCCAATTTCTAATCACCTGAACCCTCTGCAGATCGGGTCAAATCTTAATACATGGTTTGCTGTGCCAATGTACCAATCACAATCTAGACTCAAAAATCATATAAAGGAATATGAGTCGCTCCCTCAGTCCTCGAAGGAAGCAGACCACGATGGAGGCATCCCTGGCCACTGGGGGTCCAGGTCTCACTGTCCAGCAGCAGCTCCGGTCCAGGTTCCCCCTTAGGACTTGTAATGGCTTGGTTCTACAGACAGTGCTCTGGGTGCTGTCGTGCTTCCCTGTTCTGTGGTGGGTCAACAGCACCGGGTCGGCCGGGTGCCGGGCACCTTCAAGGCTGGCAGGGAAGGGGATCATCAGCTGATGCCCAGGAACCTTGAGGCCAGTAGGGAGGGGAAGAAGAAATGTGTTTGGTTTGCCTGCTTGGTGTGCAGGACCTTCAGGGCCTGATAATGAGGGGGAAGGGGAAGGAATACATGACCCGCTCGTTCCCAGCAAATGGCTGCTTGCCTTGTAAAATGGCGTTAGTTATGCTGACCACATCACCGGGGTGGGGAGCAGGGGATGCCGGCACAACATGCATAGAATGTAAGCTTCAGATAAGCTGCACCCATTGAAAGTGTAGATACTAAAGTCCTTGCTTAATTCATCCTCCTGTATAGTCTCTACCTCTGATTTATTAGTTTACAGGTTAACTTCCGCTACTACTCACCCATGCATAAAAGGTATGTTGCTAATGATTTGGACTTGGAGGGTTTTTTTTTTAGCTTGAGTGAAATGTGTGAAAAGTGGTACTAAGCTTACTAAACCAAATTGTGTATTTTAGGTGCGTATGTATTTTTCCTTTACAATTCTACATGAAAATTTTGCAAGGAAGTAGTAATAGTCTTACGATTTAAGGAGGTGTAGAATAAATAAACTTCCTGTTCTAAAGGTTGTTTGTATTTTGCAAAGATATTTCCTAAAATACTATATGGTGAGTCCTGTACATCAGAAACATGAGAAATTGTCTGCAAAGACAGTGTCTGTAACCTCCAGTTATGTGGTTATTTTACAAGACTAAGTATAAAGTAATGAACGCTGCAGTAATTACAGTAATGCTTAAGATATGGCTGGATTTTACTTGGCTTTAGAAGATGGAGTTGGAGCCACATCCACAACTGTATACCCAATAGGGAGTAATACAAAAGGAGTCATAGAAGTGGATGATTGATGCACAAACTGGAACATTTATATTGTCAGCATTCAAAAATGATTTAAATAGCCATTAAGAGGATAATCAAGGACACACTACTACTGAAAAGCATTAATAGAATAGAAAGAAACAAACTAGCATAATCTTTACAAAATAAATATCACTGATGTGTAGTCATCATACTTCTCTGACATCTTTGTTTTTCTGAAAAACAAACAAGCACTCAGAATGTGAAACTGTAATAGTAAAGTTTGCAGAGACATACATTACTTGTTCTACCGTGACTGCAGCTGAAAACAAGAAGCTCACCAGGCTGATGGTTCTAGAACCAGATGTTCCAGAACCCTAATTTTCTTTGGAGAATATTGAAAAAAAAATCTGCAAAAGATTTTTTATTTCCACAAAAAAAGGGAGCATCTGTCCTTCATTCTGATACAAAACAAAAATAATGCCAAAATGTTGATGTTTTTCTGCTACTACAGCAACAGGCCATTAGACCTTGTTGCTTTCCTAGCCACTTCTTCCAATCTCAGACAAGCTCAAATCATTTTAAGAACAAAGCAGTTACGACTCTCTTTTCTTCAAAGAAAAAAGCAATGCAATTCCTTTGGCTAATTTTTTTTTTTTTTTTCTGAACAGAAAAAAATAAAACTGCTAATGAAATCTCTTCAGCCACTGCAGAAGGAAATCGGTAGTTTTTATATTTTAAATGGATGGATTAATTGTTTGTGTTTCTGTCTAACGTAGATAAAGATGATATAAATATGTCTGCCAAATTTAATGAAGGTGGTTACTCTTCTTCACCGGTACTGTTTGAAGACAACACAGCTCTGATGGATGACCACTCCAAACAAGGAGATAAATCAGTGGAAAATTCTGTTGTCTTTGGAACTTCTGCAGAGGAAGTTGTGAAGGAAATTCGCTTTAGGATTGAGCAGAAAACTCAACTGACTGCTAGTGCAGGTATTCAGACACATATGAATACTGATAATGCTTCGTATTTTCACAATGTCTTCTGCTTTAAATCTCAGAGGGCATTAATTAAGGGATTAGCATTGTCACAGCATTCTTGTGCTGCAAAGCAATATGCTCTCTTTCCAAGTCTGTGAAGACTGTGACTTACAAGTGTTTCAAGAGAAGTTATGGCTATCAGAGCTACTCCTGGGTTTTTGTGGGTTGTTTTTTTTTTTAATCATAGAAACAGTTACATCACCTTTTGACTTCTTTCTTCTTGAAATATAAGTAGCATAGAAGAATGACCAGTGTGCTCAGAAGCTAATGTTAGCGTTGGTGGTTGTCGTTTTAGTGCTTCATGTAAATGATTTTTGTAAGCCAGTGGTCATAGTGAAATCTTTTCACTGGTTGCTAAATTGCTGTTAGTTTGAATAGCAGATCTGTTTTGTTAAGTATTTCTAATAGTTCTCCACACTGTTCCTTGCTTAACGCAATGGCAAAATTCATTAAAAAGTTAATTCTCAGAGAGGTAAATGTGCGTTGAAGTTAATAAACTGTTCATTGGCTTTTTAATATTTACCATTCAACTTTTATGTCTTTCGACTTCAGGCAACCTACCTGTAAAAGTCTCAACTATTTTGATAATAATCAGGATTAGGTGACTAAAAAAAGTGTATGTCTGTAGCCACTTAGTTTGTATGCCATCTGAACTGTTTTGTGGCCAGCTCAATGAGGCATCAGGGAGTGCTGAGCTTTATGAAGCAGATGTGGAACGCCAGGGAAATGTTGAATGTAAGCACAGGTAAAGGTACAGCTAGTAGGAAGAAGCAGGATGACACTCACTCTCCCATGTATGTTATGTCATGAGTAGTAGCAAAATAATTTTGTTCTACTGAAGTTTTGTATTCCTAAGGATAAGTTAGTGTTTAGAAAACAGATATAGCTTTTATAAGTGCATCAGGGATTTTAAGCCCGAACATCAAAAAACATTAGAAGGCTAATTGAAAAAATACTGATAATCAACAATAAATAGAATTACTTCTACCATATTGGGTATATCACCGAGCAAATAAAAATTTAGATTACTAGAGCTGTAGTGCAGAATAATGATATTTTTCTTGTTAAACCAATTCCAGAGTACTTTTGTAAAAACAGACTTTGATAGAGAAGAGCAATCCCTCCTCATCCCCACCAGTGTCAGTGAAATATATATTTCTAAATGACTACATAGCATTTGTAGCCCACAAAAGACTTTAGTTTGGTAAATTTTGTCAAAATTAATTTGGTCTTTTTTCTGAAATTCAAGAACGAAATATCTCCTTCTCATTAAGAGTTCGTTATAACTGCTGTTGTAAGCGTTTCCTTTTGTCTTATCATAATCACCACCATAAAACTGTTCAATCATGTAACTGATGTTATATTTAAACACTTGGTATTTAACCCCCTCATGACTGATCAGTGCATGTTGTGTTACCCTGACTATCTTAAAATAGTGTCTACGCTTTATCTGGTGCATCTGTTACATTTAGTCTACCACATGTATTTATGTTCTCACATTTTTAAATGACTATTTTAAATATTGGACAGTTGAAATGAAACATTGTCTTGTAATTTTCAAAAATATGAGTTGAGTTTTGTTTGTTTGTTTTTAAGGAATAGCACCAAATACGATGTTAGCAAAAATGTGCAGTGATTGTAATAAACCTAATGGGCAATGCAGAATTGCTCCCGAGAGACAAACGGTGCTAGACTTCCTAAAAGATTTGCCCATTAGAAAGGTAAGAGACACCATGACATTTACTATGCAATCATGTCTATTCCTAATGTTCTAAAAGCAAGACTTCTACTGAAGAAATATACTTTTCTAGGTAATCCGCCTAGTTGTGTTTGATTTGAATTATTCTTGGTATTGGATCAACAAATGGAAAGTTTCCAGCATAATGGTACTTACTCTTTTTCAGGTGCCCGGTATAGGAAAAGTAACAGAGAAGATGTTAAAAGCCCTTGGAATTGTGACTTGCTCAGAACTTTACCAGCAGAGGGCACTGCTTTCTCTTCTTTTTTCAGAAGCATCTTGGCGTAATTTCTTGGATATTTCCCTTGGTTTGGGTTCAACACATCTGGAAAAGTAAGTTTCGGGGGGTTTTGTCCTGCGTTTACATTTTCCTAAATTTTTGCTTGTGTGTGTTACATACTGTACATTTTAAGACATATTTTATTGACAAAAAAACACTATGAAAGTTTGGCTTGTTTAATACATTTTAAAAGATTTCTGATACTTGTCATTGTTATACTTATGGTTAAGATACACACAACAGCCAAACATTAAAGAGCAAAGGCTTGGATAGCCATGTCTAATATATGAAATCCAAAAAATCTGTCAGAGAAGTTGTGCATAAGTGTATATCAAGAAATCAAGTCAATATTATTTGGGATAACCTCATAGTTACAAAAGTAGCTAAAAATGAGTTATCCTAAGCAGAGGTGTTCAGTCCTGTTTCTTCTATTAAAAAAATATACATTCATTGGTTTTTATTGTTACCTGATTGTAATGAAAGTCGCATTGGTATCTGATCTTTTCTGGTGGTAAATTGTACTTCTGATGAAATTAAGTGAAGTTTCTGTGTCTCCTGTCATGTTTATGTACATATCAACTTGTGAATTTGCTGAAGTAGAACTGAAGTCTTTTATATCCTTTTTCATATCTGTTCCTGTAAGGTTCGTACTACTTTAACGGCTTTTTAGTCTCCTGTTTGGAAAGGGAGAAATCATTCTTACTAGTGAATACATCTTTTCAATAATGTTTCAAGAATTCTAAGCCTGTCCTGGATACAAACATGGAGCACTTGTTCTTAAAAAAACCCGTAGCATTTTGCTGGTTTTGTAACCAAGAGCCTTACTTTACGATTGACTCCATCCTCTTAAATATTCTTTCCTTAAATATCCTTCTTATCCTTAAATTCCCAAAGTGCTGAAATTCTATTTAAAAATGGTTTGACAATGATTTGTTTTAATTATGAGTTCCAAAGTGTCTTACGTGCTTCTGAAAGACTTATTCTTATTTTTGTTAGTTCCCTGGCAGTAATAGATCTTCCATTTTTCCCATTTGACTACAAAATAATATATACAGTTAGAAGTTTGTAGACCAGTAATATGCCAGCACAAATCTGTTTCAGAAGTATGTTGACTTGAAACAAAATATGCAGGAAGATTGACTTTGTGAAGGTGACTTGATAAAAGAAAAAATGCAGGTTTCCAAATATTTGTTTCTGTTAAGATAACACAACCTCAAATGATCCTTTAGTGCAC